GAATGAGCATTCAATTGAATCAAATCTATCATCAAATCTTTGTATATAAGATTTGAAATAATCATGTTCTAGTTTCAGCTCAATTATAGATGAGAATATTTTCTTTTTACATTTGATTAAACAAGATTTTCACTTGAGTTTTATTTCAAATCTTGAATAATGTATACTCTTCTTTTGTTTCTATCAGCTTTCATTTCACTTGTCTAAAGAAGATTCTTTTATCTTTCTCTTTATAAAAGATCAGAATACTCTTTTTTGAATAGATCTGCTTAATTCTGAACTCTTTTTTGCAGCTGAATCAGCCAATTCATTGCCATGAATATTTATATGAGTAGAAACTCAGTGTAGATAAATTATCAATTTTAATATTCTTCTCTTTTGAATTTTCAAAACAGAATTTAAAATCAGTTCAAGATTCATTTGACTATTATGAATCTGACTATTTCTAAGTCTTTTTAAAGCAACTTAACTATTAGAGAATATTTATATCTCTTTCAAACTATTTTCTCTTTTATAAGATTTTATTTTAATGAGTTTGAAAGCTTTCACTATTACAAATAGTTCAGCATCAAAGACTTTAGATTCACAGTCTAAATTTCAGAAATCTGAGATAAAATTAATATTATCTTCAGTATAAGCAATGTCTGTGTCTAATCTATTTAAATTCTCATTTTTTGAGTTATCTGAGTAAATCAGAATAGAGTCTATATTGATTATAGAGATTCTCTTCAAATGCTGTTCATATTCTCTCTCTTTAGATAGTTTACCTATTTTTAAGTCTATGAGAGATTCAAGCTTTTCTCTTCAGAGAGATATCTTCTGATGATTAACTTTTTCAATATTTAATGAAGAAAATTGATTTTTAATCAGTGAACATAGTCTGTATAGTTGAGAGGGCATTTTCTTTGAAGAATTATTTTCATTTCAATTAAGAAATCTATTTCAATCCAGTTCATTTCCTGAGTTAATTAATCAAAATGAAGAAGAGACTCTTTTTCTGATTATATAATTTGAGCTCATCTTTATAACTCTCAGAGCATAGTTCATACAGGTCTTTTTCAATTTAATAGTAAAAGAGAGAATTGAACAGTTTTTATACATAGTTCTGAAGGAAATTGAGATGCTTCTTATCATACTGCTTCAGTGAGAGTCTGAAGAAGTTTATTAGCCTGAGCTGTTATATGTCACAGTTCTTTCAGTGAAGATTTGAGAGAAGTTGAGATATCAGTGACAGTTCAGAGCGAGAATGTTCTAATCAGATAAGCATGTATAATGTTATAAGTTATTTCATCTTGATCAACTAATATCTTCAGATTCAAGAGCTAATGTTCTCAGTTTATTCAGTAGATGTTTATTACATTGAAAGGTATATCTTACTCTTATTATGACAGAGCATCTGTCATTGAGTTCTGACTGCTAAGGCAGTAGCGTATAGTGAAATGAAAACAGCTTAATAGCATAGATCATTGCATCTGATATTTAATAAGCTTGTAGATGATTGTGAAATACTTGAGATTCTTATAATCTCTGAGTATCTCAAATTTAAAGACACTTCAGAGTTCAGAGTCTTATTCTTCTAGATAGTGTATAATTGTGTCTTATCATAGATCTTATAATTACATTCAGTAAGACTCAGTTTCTTAAACATGAAGATGTATAATTATAAGATATCTTTATCATCATATTGTAATATAGCTTCTTCTGTGATATAGTCAGAGAAATCAGCTTCAACAACTATTTTATAATCAGAATTAAATATTATCAGTAGCAAGGTATTAATGAATATCTTCTTTATTCATGTGAATATGACTTAAGTATCTGCTGATTATTAAAATACTGAGTTCTTTTTAATAAGTTCTGTGAGTGATCTAGTAATATCTGAGAAATTCTGTATAAATCACTGATAGAAGTTAGTAAATCTGATGAAGCTGTGTACATCTTTCACAGTATACAGAGCCTCTCATTCAAGAATAGCAGAGATCTTCTCAGAATTTATTCAGATTTTCTTACCAGCTTCTATGATAAAGTCTAGATATTTTATACTTTTAACTTTAAAATTACACTTATCTATGTCTATCAGTAGTTCTGCTTCTTATAGTTATTATAATACTCTTTACATATGTTCTTAATATTCTTTTCTGAACTCATCAGTGAAGATCAGAATGTCATTGAGATAAGTAGATATAAATTCATTAAGGAAATCTCAGAGTGCTCAGCTAATATACTTCTGAAATGTACTAAGAGTGTTAGTCAGTCTGAAGAGTGTGACTACTTATTCAAAGAGATCATATTATGTTTAGAATACTGTAAGTCACTCATCTTCTTCAGTGATACAGATTTTATAAAATGCAGTGATAACATCTAGCTTTGTAAATTATTAAGCTTATCTGATATAAGCTAGAGTTTCATTGATAAGAGATGAAGAATAGTGATCTTTCTTTATTAATCTGTTCAGTTCTCAATAGTTTACACAGAATCAGAGTTCTTCATCTGATTTCTTTGTAAAGAGAATACCAGCTGTGAAAGAGAAGTTGCTAATATATATGAATTCTTTATTTAACAAATTATTAAGTGTCTTTCAAAGAAGAAGAAGTTCATCTCAGAACATGTTATAAAGAAAGTCTTATAA